TTTGCCACTCACACTACCTGGAGCTAACCACGAGTGTGTTAGGGAGGGGGAGCGATTCTGGGAAACCATGTCAGCAATTTCTGATCTCTTGGCATTCCTTCTCTCGCTTCCTTAGTCGTAATATCACCTATCAGCACTCTTTGAATGCCCTGTTTTGAACGTCACTCCCCCCCCCCCCAAGGTCATAAGCGCCGATACAACATATGCACTGAGTGAGGTGAGGAGTAGTGCGTGGAGTACTCGTGCCACAGAACCCTCTTTCTGTACACTTTCACGAACATAATAGACATAAAAGACCACCTCGTGGTGAACTTTTGCAATGCTGCAGAGGAAGATGTTAGGCGGACCATCAAGCTGAACTCAAGTGCATGGTGCATCAACTTCGTCGCATCAGCTTCTATGTTTTAGTTTATTTCTTCTCAACCAGCTTGTGTAATGATAAGGTAGTACCGTTTACATGCGTATAGTCTAGGATCAATTCCCGGACCAAATCCCGCTCAGATAATCAAATTCGAACTCGATTAATTGACTCCAGACCAGCCTGGAGGGATGGAAGTGCTGGCTTCCATGTCGACTGGCTACGCAAGTTTTTTGAACTGGCTCATTCAATTTCGCTACTGTTCTGGTGAGGAACAAAATGCGTGGCGCATACCAAAAGGGAGATAATCACACCGAATGCCTCACCTTTTGTCTTTTTGATAGCGAGCCTAGCTTTCGCAAAATCCGCTGGATAGCCACCAAAATGCCAAGCAGAAGCAGTTCAAAAGTTATAATAACTGAAAATGGGCTCCCGAAAATTCATTTCCTTCCGGTGTTTGCCAAGTCGAGCGATTGAGCTTGTCAAATGTAATTCACCAGTTTAGCTCCGCCCGCTACCGCGCGCATGACACGGAAGCCTCTGACAAAACTGACAATCGGTGAAGCTTTGGGTTTCACCGCTTAACTATAGCTGCTTCGTTAAATGCATTACTGTCCGTTGCCCATCTTGGCTGTATCTCACTGTTTGATAAGCGCAGTGAAGTGCACAGCTAAAGTGATGTATGTAAACAACCACCATGCATCGAGAATCGAGGAAATTTAGCGGTCGAATAATTTTTGGTAATCTCAAGACGGAATGCCCAGTATTCACTATCAAATTTATTAGAGCATCCCATTCATCCTCAAGAACTCTAGAAGGTGTAGCGGTTGAAAGGTGTTTGAATTTACAATTATAACGCTAATGAAATGATATTGAAATGAAATGCATTATCTGCAATCTGGTTTCGAGTAATCTCTACGTTCGTACGCATATCGTAATTATCAGTCCTCATCTGTCGTTATCACTTTTTGACCCCCACAAAATATGTTACGTCCAACCTTTATCATGTCCCAAAATAAGCTCCTGACGACTGCTGCGAAGCGCGCTATGAATTTTGTGAAAATTGTGTTTCAGCGCCTCTCAATTGCTCATATCAGTCGTTATCACTTTGTGGACCCACGGATATGGTCCGGTCCATATTCGTATTTGAAAAACGACCACTGGTGCCCGAGCTATGAATTTCGCGACACTTGCGTTCTAGCGCCTTTTATCAGCCCTTATCAGTTGTGATCACTTTCTTTACCCCACCAAATATGTTCCCGTCCCACCCCCTATATCATATCTTGAAACCAACTCCTGACGACCACTGGTGCCCGAGCTATGAATTTCGCGACACTTGCGTTCTAGCGCCTTTTATCAGCCCTTATCAGTTGTGATCACTTTCTTTACCCCACCAAATATGTTCCCGTCCCACCCCCTATCATATCTTGAAACCAACTCCTGACGACCACTGGTGCCCGAGCTATGAATTTCGCGACACTTGCGTTCTAGCGCCTTTTATCAGCCCTTATCAGTTGTGATCACTTTCTTTACCCCACCAAATATGTTCCCGTCCCACCCCCTATATCATATCTTGAAACCAACTCCTGACGACCACTGGTGCCCGAGCTATGAATTTCGCGACACTTGCGTTCTAGCGCCTTTTATCAGCCCTTATCAGTTGTGATCACTTTCTTTACCCCACCAAATATGTTCCCGTCCCACCCCCTATATCATATCTTTGAACCAACTGGCGACCACTGGTGCCCGAGCTATGAATTTCGCGACACTTGCGTTCTAGCGCCTTTTATCAGCCCTTATCAGTTGTGATCACTTTCTTTACCCCACCAAATATGTTCCCGTCCCACCCCCTATATCATATCTTGAAACCAACTCCTGACGACCACTGGTGCCCGAGCTATGAATTTCGCGACACTTGCGTTCTAGCGCCTTTTATCAGCCCTTATCAGTTGTGATCACTTTCTTTACCCCACCAAATATGTTCCCGTCCCACCCCCTATATCATATCTTGAAACCAACTCCTGACGACCACTGGTGCCCGAGCTATGAATTTCGCGACACTTGCGTTCTAGCGCCTTTTATCAGCCCTTATCAGTTGTGATCACTTTCTTTACCCCACCAAATATGTTCCCGTCCCACCCCCTATATCATATCTTGAAACCAACTCCTGACGACCACTGGTGCCCGAGCTATGAATTTCCGGTCAGACAGACAAACACATACACACACAGACACACACACACAACCGCTAGCCGTTATATATAGTAGGTATTTTAAGTACAAGTTTTGAGTAGCATTGGGGGGGGTGCGGAGGGGTGCTGCAAAAAAGAATATGTTGTGCTTGTCTCACATCAGGAGTTTATGAAAAAACATCAGAAAAAACCATCCCTCTTCAGTCGCCTCACTCTATTAGCATATGACTCTTCTTCTTACCGTAATTGCTTCGGCCCGACTAATCTGCTGAAATTTCTTTCGATCATGCCAATGGTGCATTTACCTCGAGCTTTAGCTCTGACATGCGCCGCCTCCAACAAAGTTCGAATGGGCGCACTGGTCACGTTCGCTATCCGGTTGGCCGACCTGTAACGTCGCTTCTCGGCGATTCTTCTGATGCCGTCCGCATAGGAGGTTATTAAGAAGTTTTCCCTTATAAAGTGAAATGTGCTTTTCAATTATAACTTCAGTGCGTTTGATTTGAACTTAGCAAAATGTGATTAATTTCGTTTAAATTGTTTGGGCAAAACGTCTTTTCCTATTGCCACTGCGTATAATTCTGGTTACTTGTTTGGTAATGGTTACTCCTCGAATTCTGTGTGGTGGACGATTCAAAGATTTAACTCTGCTCATGACCCTTGTGTTTAGCACTGTCTATAAGGGGGGGGGGGAGTAACGAATTCAATCTTATTACGGCAGAGATTTCATAAAATATAACATAATTTATATCGTATTTGGTTCGTAATACGGTTACCAATATCGAAAATGAAGAGGAATTCTGTGATAGACGTAATCACAAGTAGTGCTTTCTCATGATGACATATAATGACGTCATATACTTCATAGTTTCACAAAGTTTAATAAAACCGTTCATGCATGTTCATGTTCAACTTTTGTGGCCTGCAAAGTAGGTTACACCCGCGGTGCAGGTCTGAAATATCTTGTCCTGTTATAGAAAACCCTTCCTTTTTCTGTGTCAAAGCCCTTGTAGCATCTTTAGATCTCCTTCGCTGACACACTGCTAGCAGTGGGAGGAATCTGGTTTTGTTGAGATACCAAATGAGAGGCAATTTCCAGCCTAGCTGCGAGTTCCTCAACTCCTCTTACAGTTTTCCGCTCGGAACTCCTCGATCGTCCCTCCTTCCACGCCACCACCATCGTCTTCACTTCGTTGATCGATTGATCAAACTTCGGCGTTCACGGCTTTCCGGGTGGAACTTGCTTCATCACAAATCCATTTCTAATTCGTTCAATTCGATGAATCTCCTCTCTACGGTAACGGGTCTTGTTCTGGAATGTGTTCGAGAGGAACAAGCACGGCGGTGTTCTACGATGAGCAGTTAGCCGACGCAGCTTCATCATCGCACGCGGTTCGAGTTGGACTTGGACGCTGTCGGGGAACCGGACCCCGTCGACGGCGACGACGGTGGTGGCGGCGGCGGAGGAGCGAGGAGAGGGGAGAGGTGACTCGCACTGCAACACACTTACGCCCCAACATCTGAACTTCTGCTCAATACTTGTGGACGCCTTCTGAAATTATTGGAACTGTTTTGTGTGATTACCACCCAGCCGTTCTCGGTTCCGCCACTGACGCCATCAAGACCTTATCGTCTCTGTTCGGTTCCTCCTTGACTGTGATTTCCATCTGTGAACCAGTTCCTATCAGTCATAATGAGATGCTTACAACTTTTATCGACCAACTTCACCCTCGCAGCAATCTGTCACTTTAAGTTCTTTTCAACGCCATCGCACCGACAATAAGCCGCTATTCTTGGCTGTTCCGAATTTCTTCTACTCATATTTTGATTTATATTTGTTCTTGAGTCAAACAGCCTGACGCGCCCTAAAATTCAGTTCAGATTTGGTCTTTTGTCCCATATTTTTTGATCGAATCTCTCGTACGCCATCAAAATTTTCCATTTTTTCGACACGACCAGGAATTTGCGATATCGTAGAAAATTCCACGAGAACGTCTCAACGTTCCAGACCTGCGCAGTCGGTCTATTCCCCTGGAGCGCCGTTGGGCGTAGCGTGCGGTCTCAGTACCGCCGTACACTCGTGACGAGAACGTTTTTCCCTCAAACCAGCCCTCTCAATGATCCTCACATACATGATTTTATTGCAATGTTGAAGATCAACGAAACGACGACTTTCCTTTGAAAGCACATTTTCGTCACTCATTCGCTTAGCGCACTGCTTGCTGCTTTCTTTGTTTGCTTGAGATTCTAATCTGGCTATTTCCGCTCGTTATAGACATCGACATCGTTTTCCTTCACGTTCATGTTCTGTTCGATCGATCGCATAAGAGATTCATAAGAGTACTGGTTATTGATTTGTACATCCTTCAGAGTCGTTAGACAGAGCTGCCATCCATTTCGTTCACGTTTATCTGCTGAGAGCTTGATCTGTGATGCTTCCTGCGTCCTGAATGGACATGGATGGAGACGAAGAGACGATCAATATACAGATCTACGTGCCTGAGATTCAAGTTCGGGTACGTTCTCAGGCCACACACGGGCTACCTTCTTTCTCTGAAGCAGGGTCAACCGTCCATTCGCACTGTTCGAACGAGGGGGTCGCATTTGTGATTTCGGGAAGGGGAGTCGCATTTTGGGGTTGAGCAATGGTTATCATAGTGGAAACGGAGGTTGTTGAAGTGTGTTTGGACGGTTTTTTCTTGACGAATTTGGTGAAAATTTTCCGAGGTAGTTGAGAATAGCGGGAAACTGGTGGATTTGCCGTTTATGATATTCAATTTACCCCCTCCCCCCTGCTCTCCTATTAGTAGTTTTTTGAAGGAAGAAGTGTCTGGCAGCGAGCCGGTGTGTTAGACTGGAGCAATGCAGGCGAGCGGACCGCTACGGAGGGAGCTTTCTTGGCTGAGATAGGAGCGCTGGGGGGGGGGGGTGGGGCGGGGGGAGGGGCGCAAAATTTAGTCAAAATGCCATGACGAATTGAACCTTGTTCTGGAAAGCCAAAAATGGACTTATCAGTCTGTGGCCCAACATGCTTGCGCCGACCGAAAGACGTTCGGTTCTCCTCCTAGGATAGGTCACCAGAGTTGCGCGATGGTTGAACCCTGAGGGTAGGATCAGACTTTTGTGTGGTTCGCTAGAAGAGGGCGAATTTCCGTTTTTCGTAGCTCGGAACGTTTTTCGCTAGTTTTGCGCTAACAGACCCTAGCTTCCCAATCCTGATTAGTGGTGGAGTCGCAGGTCCACCACTAATCAGGACTGGAGCTAGGGATTCCCGAAGCAAAAAAAAATTGTCGCGCTGGGAAGTGGGAAAGTTGCTTGCTGTTCCAGCGAACCACACCCCTCAGACTTAGGCTTCTGATTACACAGTGACTACACCTATGTCCAGGGCTGGACTTAAGTCTAGGCCCAGGCTTGCTACGATCAGCAACAGGAAACTTCGCAATAGAGAAGTCACCGCCCGCTGCTTTTCTCCTGATGGGGGGGCGGGTCGTGTTTAGTGATTCTAGGGCGAGTTTTATTAATGGGATTTTATTTTTCTCGGGTCTAATCTAGGTAAAGGAGTCGAGTTGTAGGAAGAAAAGGGAACCTTTTTTTCGAGGAAGGATTCAAGCAGATTTTTGAAAGCTCGAATGTTTGATTTTTTTTTTTTGCGGATTTTGAAAGTGGTTTCGAAAAGAGTGTCAAGGCATCTTTTTGCTCGCTTCATTTTTTTGCAGGCTTTGAAAACGATCGTTTGAAGTGTTCCAAGCCGAGGGAGAAGGTTTAAGGGGCGTACATCGACCGTTGCAGGGTGAGGGTTGAGTGGTACCTCCAGGGGGACCTGAAAGTTGGAAAATTTTCATATGCGACGGTTGACCCTGCGAAACAGGCTAAAGAGGCCTCATTGCTCCAGTCGTGTTTACGAACTTGACCGTGCGCCTTCTGTGTGCCATGGCGTAATAATCGTGCATGATAATCTGTTTGCTGTAGAGATTCGCCTTCAGAAATGTCTCACCGTCGGCCTCGACGATTTCGTGTGGGATGTGAAACGAAAACTTCTCGCCACTTTACCGCAGGTTTGTGCTTCTTCGTCGAGTTTATTCTTATCAACCCTTGAATTTGGTCTGCCAAAGAAATTATCGAATATTTTTTATATACCAGATTAGTCCCCCGTCAACCGCCGGGACCTTCCTTTCCTGCGCAAGCTTTCTATCCTCCGCTATGGTCCCTTCCTCCTGTGACACCAACACCTCGTGGAAGTGACGCGTATGCAACACAATGGTGTTTCAAACAGTAGAAGGGACACAATCATGATATGACGGTAGATTTTTCGCTTCCCTTCCTCATCCTCCCTTCCTCTCTCCACTGCCCTCCAGCTGCCACTGCAGCACCATGTGGAATGAACGGAAGTGTGCTAAGCAGGTGTTTATATAGCCCTAAGAGTGTTATCACAACTGCTACAAAACATTGATATCTCAAATCCTGTAAGCTACCCGATTTGTTAGCGGTTTGTTTATCCCATGAGCTTCCTTCTCACTCACTTCATTTTGCGGACGGACACACATACATACATACACACACACACACACACACACTCACACACACACAGATACAGATACACAAACCGACACACAAAGTTAGCGCTTTATAATATAGTAGGATTCCCTACTTACTGTAATAGATTACGGCGCTTAGAGCTAAATTGTTATCCATCTTTTTCAAGAACATGGAACATTTGCACCTCATAGCCGGCTGTTTATCTTTCGACAGCAGCAACTCCTGCTGTAACCGACGGCAAAAACTTGAAAGGAAACAAGCTGATCCAAGATCCAAATGTTTTTTAAGGTCAGCAGTGAGATTCGCTTGTTACACAGACATTTCTCTTCCGAGCATTTACAGGGCAGCATTTTCATAGCAATCAGCTCTTGGAAGAGGATTCCGCTAGGGTCTGAGGCGTAATAGTGTCTACGAAGCGGTGAGCCGCTACGAGGAGCAATTCGGCGCGAATTGGGCAGCGATAGAGACACATTCCCCAGCAGGGTCAATCCTACGTTGGGACAAGTAACAACGGGGGGGGGGTCGTAGTTTGTTGTGTTTGTGGGTGGTCGTACTTGCTTCGGTAGCAAGAAATTAAAGAAATTACGTGGAACGAGGTGAGAGCGTATATTCCCTCCCCCCCTTAGAAAATGTTGTAGTGAAAATATAGGTAAAATAGAGGGAAGATGAGGGAAAAGAAGGGAAATAAGGGAATTTTTGCGGTTTCAGGGTATTTATATACCCCCGTCTCCGCTTAGCGGTCATATTTTTTGGGGAGGGGGGGGGGGAAAGGTGTGAAAGAATGGAGTCGTATTGGAAATCTGTCATTGAGAGGATTAGGGGAGGGGGGGGGGGAAGAGGCTGTGACGAAGGAGTCGCATGAAATCTGTCATGAAGGAGAGCTGGGTCGTAAAAATCCAAAAATTCAAATTCCAAAAAAAAAATCCAAAAGTCCCAACGGTAGAGTTGACCCTGCTCCCCAGTACTGCTCCCGCCGCTGCCTGTCCACCCTCTTGCCATATGATTCTGGCCGTTCAACAGAGAGAACGTTAACGTTGAAGAGGGTAGCACCGACGAGAGTCGCATCTGTGTGGGAATCAACGGCAAAGGGTTTCCTTTTTCTCGGGTCCTGGGGGGGGGCGGGGGGCCCCGTTTCTCATGTTTTTATTCTTGCACCACTGACATCCCTGCTTTCATTTATAATCAGTACCCTTCGCATTGCAAAATCCGCCTTTAGCCGAGGGACGCTAGGGTTGTTAAGAAAGAACGAAAACGAGTGGTGGTGGATTCGAGTGGAGAAAAGATTAACAACAAGAGATACGATGTGATGTGACTTTAAGTCTTTATCTTTATCTTTATCTTTATCTTTATCTTCATCAGTTGCCAGAGAAGTAGAAATAAAATGTAGTAATGTGACGTATTAAAAACAATCAACTGACATATAAATTAAGTTAGAAAGTCCGTCGATGAGCGCTGACCATAGCCCTTGAAGTGTCGACTTTAGTTTTTTTTTCTCAAGGTAAAGCAGTTAGCGTTACTAGTCCCAAGTCTACAACAATATTTCCAGCGTCGTGAGCCACTCTCCCTTCCTTTTTCAAATCATTTCCCAGTTTTTACGTGATTTTGGACTGTGGGAAAATTCCACTATATGCACATTTTGCCTTGATGTCAGCAAGCAACGGTACTGTAGCGCGATCGATTTCCTGCAGGTGTTGGGTGTTCTGTAAGAGTTTCACATTCCATGCATGGGAACTTCACATTACGTGGAGCAGTTCTCATAGGCAATTCAATACAATAGATGATTAGCATTGGTGGCCGGACTTTTACGTTCGTGTAGACGATGGTTTTGTACACCATAATTATAATTTTAATAACTAATAATTATCACACATAATTTCATCTCAGAGCAGTCAGGACCAAAACTTTCTCTGCCCTTCGATGGGGCTTCTGGTCGTGTTGCATTAAACATCTCGTAGTCAGCTTGTCGGGAACCTCTGTCACAGAGCCACGCTGATGATCGGGATTGGATTTCTCAGTATGGCGACTCAGGGGTGGGGGAGGTGTTGGGGAGGGGGCGAAAAGGGGAAAATTTGAGAGACTCCACCTCTACATCTGGGAGGAGGGGTGTTCCATACTATTGCCCAAGCTTACCTCCATTATTTAGCCATAGCTTCCTAATTGCTAATTTGGTTCTCATTCGACCCGCGTCGAGAAGCTTGTTTCGTACGGTGTTCGAAACGGCCCAAGAAGCGCTGTCTAGTGATCGGATCGTTCCAACTGCTTTCGGCGTCCTGCGACATTGAAAGATAATCACATGAAGCTGAAGCTCATAGGGAATAATACTATCCAGAGCAGTCAAAAGATAGAAGATAAAGAATTAGGTTTTGATAGGTTCATGTTTTGATGCGCCACGCATCTAACTTCTGCCCAGAGTAATAGTTGTATTTCCAATTTGATATCGCATATGCATGTGTAGCTAGCCTAGTACTGACCGACCAACTGCAAGAAATTGCAAGACTGGCCTTCCTAGAAGTGGATCTGAAATTTGACCTCCAAGCCCAGATCAATCGTCCGTTGTTCCAATTCTGGAAATTTTACGATCCCTCAAGGGGTTTCATTACGACATCTCACCACCAGCAGCCTTGAAAGGGTCCTTTCATGTGACCTCCTCCCCTTTTCTCACCGCCACCACCATCACACTAACCACCACACCATGACATTTTGCATAGTATTTAGTCGATTCTAACATCGGCACAGTGACCATTTTTCCTTTTTCCTCACAAAAATGCCTCGTCGAGTGGAGGTGCTTCTAAAAATATTGAACACCTTCCGTTCGTTGCCATCATTGACACACAAGATCCGAAATAGACTACCCTTACATGCTCAAATACGGCTCCTCCATTCGATATTGCGCAAGGATAGCTTACCCTAGTCCTGATCCCTGGCCGTGGCAATCCGCGTCATCGTCGTAATAGCCCTTTTGCTCAGACGGGCATTCATTTAGAGTTTAGAAATTGTTTGGAATAGTCTGATTGTAGGCCTCCCTAATCACTGGTTAATCAGCTTTTTAGGAAAGCTCACCGCAACTGATGGGTCGTCTGAAAAGACGATTCCTCGTAGGATTATTTCTTTGTTCTACGTCTTGTGTTTGCAGGCGCTTCCGCAGGCCTTCAACTACGGCCTTTTCCTGCCACCGTGCGATGGTCGAGCCGGCAAGTTCCTGCTTGAGGACCGCGTCGTTCGCGACTACCCATTCCATGACTGTGTTCCTTACTTGGAGGTGAGTTGAAAACCTTTATTTCTCCTGCATCTCTACAGTCTCGCCGTCAACCATCGGCTATTTTTCTTCACCCTCATCTCTTCAGCGTTGCAATTTGCGTCCTCTTCGCGTAACGAACTGTCAATCGTGGTCGCTTGCGTTCCCCTCCCGCCTAATGTGCTGTTTGTATGTCTTTTCTGAGCGGGCAAACAAGCTGCCCGAGATGCCTTGGGATGCACGGTATCGACGCCGCGACTACGAAACTCGATATAGCCCAAAGCGGGACCAAATTGCTTTTTCCGCCGTTCGTTTCCATTGGGGAAAGAATAGCAGTTGTTCGTTGGAAACCGAGACTTCGACGCGCGCACGACCATTTGGGTCAAGTTCCACCACTAATCGAAACTGTTCTATAATAGCTGCCCATTTTCAGCTCAAGTACAAAAAACGGGTCTACAAAATGCTGAATCTGGACGAGAAGCATTTGAGGAGCATTCACAGTAAGGTAAGCCATTATATGTTTTTGGCAACTCTGGATCGATTTCCAGAAGTGAAGTTCTAGCGAAGAACTTCTCCCTTTGGCTGGAATGAGCTGAACCCGAACACTCGAAGCCAATTAGAGGTTTATGATAGGTGGTTTTAGAAAACTCCTTCAGGGTAAGGGTCAAACCAATTGGGAATAAGTCTTTGACCCGGTAAGCACCACACCTTCGTGGGACTCTTTCTAGGAAGGTGTTCGCAGTGACTTGAGGAAACTTGAATACTTCCCATGGAACGAAGGTCGCCGCAACATTGCAAGAACATGCAGGGTGTAACTGCGGAGAACATGCTAGGTTGTTAGAGCCGCTATCGGATTTGTTGAGGTTCTCGAACATGGTTGTTTTGATGCTTGGTTGTACGATTTCGCTTGGGCTAAAAAAACCACCGTGCACATCTGCCGATCTTCGTTTGAGTCTTGGGGTTTTTCGAGGGACGGTGCAATTTTTAGATTTCATTGTGCACATGATAAGTTTAGATGTTTCTATTAGTTAATACGTCCAAGTTTATTTTCTAGGCTACCCACTTGAAAAAATTCTATGGATTGTTATGTTACAACGTTTTTATTATATTCTTGCGGAATAAAAGTGTTCTGAAAAGCTTCTTGTTCTCTCAGTGCTTGGATGCGATTTGGTCCACGATGCTACAGGTACATGATTTCATTGTATGCTTTTTTTTGTTTTTATTTGCCTGCCGGTTAATACAAGTGTTGAATTGTATTCATGGAAGAGACTCCACTGACTGGTGTGCATCCGTGTGTGCCATCGAATCGGCATTGCTTTCGTCGCACTTGTGTTGGAGGGTGGGAGCACACATCGTATTTCGTAATCTGTTGGTCAAGTAAGTTCATGACTTCTAAATCGGTTCTTATTTATTACATCGTTATGTTTATTCTCTTCTGGTTCTGGTGGTGAGTGAAATGTGGTACATGGCTCTTAAAAATAACTTGTTCTGGACGGATCGTGTTCTGTTTTTATTGTGCCCTACTTTCCTATTGGGAAAGCTTCCCTCTTTTAGAACACCAAACCTTAACTTTGGCATCGTTTTTGGCCAGCGCTAGCGGTGAATGTGGCTGATAACAGGCTCAGAATACGGGGGCGCCAGAATTGACTAACTGGCTAGCAATTGCGAAAAAGACTACTTGACACGAATAGGCTGCCTGCCGTGCGCTAAAAAAGCTCTGTGGGTGTGGTGGGGCGGTACAGTGCGCGACAGCCAGCATTCATTGGGAATATTTCGCCATTTGAGGCCTTTGAGTATACCTATGAATTTCAGACGGCAATGCACAAAGCAGCGTTTCTGTCATCCTGCGAGAATGTGAAAGCCCTGCTGGAATTGGGGGCGTCGCCCAATTATCGTGACCCCATCGGACTTACACCCCTGTACTACAACATGCTTACCACGGATTCAAACGATCAGGTGAGCTTTGGCTTTTCCCCATCTTATGTTTTTTAAAAAGGAGTATGTTGAGGGAAGCTGCCGATATAGGCATAACCGACATGCACGGGAACCACGAAATTCATCAGGTAGGCTTGGAAAAGAGATTGCGAACAAGTTGCATTCACGAGCCTCTGCATCAACGGAATCAGGGTCTTCTGTGCTGAAACATTTCTGGGCAAGACTTGATCAGAGCCTGAGAGCGGCTCTGAGTCCTGCTCACAAATCGTTCAGCACAGACAAACGAGACCTTTCCCTTGACATCAGCCCTTGGAGTAGACCACAGTTGGTTAGGAGGAAGGGGCCTGAAGAGTCTTTCAATGAAATGATCGCCAAGAAAAGGTGTAGGCCTAAAAGAGAATTCCGAACTTCATTCATCCGACCGTCAAGTCCCGCCGATCTCTAGTGAGTCCCTCTTGTTTCTCGCCATCGCTCGTGTCGGCGCCGTGTCGAGATCCGCGTCTTCAAGAGGCACTCCTCCATTAGTGGGCGTCACCTCCCGCATGCAGCCTGATCACACACGTTCAGCTCATGCCATTCCTGAAACTGTACATTTCCATCTTCTTTTCCTCTCACTTTCACACTGGTATCTCGTACCTGTTGGACATATTTCGCTCAACATTTCTGAAGCTCTGAAGCGTATGAGGCATGATGCAACCCTCTAGCACGAAATTGGCCAATTTTCATAGAGATAACCAGTCCTTGTGTGATATGATTCTTTTTGCTAGAGCCTAACAAACGTTTTAGCAATCTACTTCGGGCCAAATTCTCTCTGGAGGGTAATAATAATAGGAAGAATATAATAGACATTAATGATTCTATAAAGCCTTTTTGTAATGAAGTGAAGTGGTGATAGAAAAGATTGCCGAGTGGACGAATAATGAGCCAAATAGCTCGGCATGAAAGTGCAATCCGATTCCAAAGCATAAACACAGTCTAGCAAGGAGCGGTCCCAACCAAAATCAGAAGTTCATGACACGCTTGCGATGATTCGGGTCCCAGAATATGTTGTGAGCGAACTAAAATGCGCTATTGAACGTAAATAATTGTGCTTGAATA